CTGAATTGAGGACCACGAGGAGCCCCACTTGCATGAGGCGCTACGTATGCACGGTGATGACGATGGTCTGCGCCGCTGATTACCCAGCAGTTTCTGCCCATGACGTAGGCGAACTTCCATTTCCGCCGGCAAACCTCTTCTCTGTGTTCGACTGCCCTGCCCAATCACGATGCACAACGTCTCTGACCGCCTTCGCTCAGTCGGCTAGCGGTGGCTTACTCAGTCTCTGTCCGCCGGATATGGACGCTGGTGCCGGCAATATTCTCGCCATGTCGCATGCGACAGGTGCGGGAGATGTGCAGGCGAGCAAATCTTTCGCTCATGACGGCCACGCGCGCCAGATACTTAGGGCGACGGGCTGCTGTCAAGCGATTGAACGAATGAAGCTTGTTCATCGCCATTGACAGCACCCGCGCCCATCTCCCGAAAACACGGTCACGACTAGTCGTACCGTCGCGCGTTAGATCCACACGATCCACAACGGCCTCGTCGTCGGGCTGAACATTTACTATTATTGTTCCGACAGCCGAGCGCTGGCAATTTCTATCGCTTTCCAGCGCGACAGCCACTCTCACCACCTTGGTCGAGGAAACAGGAGATTGCGATCAAGATGCAGAACGAAGACCTGGACATCCTGCGCAATGAGGCGAACGCAAGCCCTGAGCGCTTCGCAAATTGGGACCCGCAGAGCCAGTTTCGCGAAGAGTACCACAGACGGCATTTGCACGACCAGACACCTGATGAGCGCCTGCGCAACATCGAAGCACACGAGCGAGGAGAGCGCACCCAGAGCGAGATATCCTTCCCAACAGAAGCAGTAGCATCACCAACCACAGAAAAGGAAGAGGAGGTCGCCTCACCTCTCTCGCGGCACAGCACATCTTCGGCTTCGACGGTTAGCTCTGCAAGCTCTGCATCCACACATAGCGCACGCCTCGAAGAAATACGCACTGCCCGCTCAACCCCCGCACGCGACCGCCGACCGACCGTCAATTCGCAGGCCTCGAGCGGCAACTACCTGACACTACATCCCACCGAACGCAACCCCGAAGCTATCCGCCGGATCGAGACACACAGAAGTCAGCATGCAGGCACAGTTGGTGCATCGCGCGTCGATTCGCGGTTGTCGAGGACCCTCACACGCCGTCGTACAGAGAAGCCATTGCCGAACCTAGGGGCCGGCAAGCCTTTTCCCCCGCTGCTACCGGACAGGGAAGAATATGTAGTCGAGTTCGACGGTGTCGACGATCCGCTGCATGCGCAGAACTGGCCGATGAAGAAGAAGATTGGCATTGGTGCTATCCTAGCATTCGACGCCCTCACAGCCACCATGGGTAGCAGTATCTTCTCGGCCGCTACCTCAGCAGTATCGCAACAATACGGTGTTGCCAATGTTGTGGGTACTCTAGGAACGAGTTTGTTCGTTTTTGGATATGCTTTTGGGCCTTTGGTAAGTACGCTGATCATAGACATGCGGTCAGATATGCTAACAGCTTCTAGATGTGGGCGCCTTTCTCCGAGTTATACGGCCGAAAACCTCCCCTCATCATTGCCGCCTTTGGTTTCGCCATCTTCAGCATCGCGGTCGCCGCAGCCAAAGATATCCAGACCATCATGATATGTCGATTCTTCGCCGGTCTCTTCGGCTCCTCTCCGCTCGCTATCGTCGCCGCTGTCTTTGCGGATATGTTCGACAACAAACTTCGCGGTCTTGCCGTCGCAGTCTTCTCCGCAACTGTCTTCATGGGTCCTCTACTTGCACCCTTCATCGGAGGATTCATCACACAGAGCGACCTGGGATGGCGGTGGACCGAATACATTAGCAGTTTCATGGGCTTTCTGTCGTTTGCTCTGCTCTTCTTCTTCATGGAGGAGACATATCCTCCCGTTGTGCTGATCAACAAGGCGAGCGAGCTCAGGAGACGAACCAAGAACTGGGGTATCCACGCGAAGCAGGAGGAAATTGAAGTCGACTTCAAGGAGCTGATCGTTAAGAACGTCAGCCGACCGATGCGCATTCTCTTCACCGAGCCTATTGTACTGCTCATCACCATCTATATGAGCTTTATCTGTAAGTTGGATCACCCCGTCTCGTTACAAGAACTCAGCTAACAATTCTAGATGGTTTACTCTACCTCTTCCTTACCGCATACGCCCTCGTCTTCCAAGGCGTCTACGGCTGGAGTCCTGGCATCGGCGGACTTGCCTACTTCGGCATGGTCGCTGGTGAAGTCATCGCCTTCATCATCATTGTCGTCGACAACCCACGATACATCAAAAAGCTGGAAGCCAACAACAACATCCCCGTTCCAGAATGGCGCCTACCCATCAGTATGGTTGGTGGCGTGCTCTTCGCAGCCGGTCTTTTCTGGTTCGGATGGACTGGCTACACCGGCAACGTTCACTGGATCGTTCCTGTCTTGAGCGGTCTCTTTACCGGCTTCGGAATCTTCTCCATCTTCCTCTCGCTTCTCAACTACATCGTCGACGCGTACCTCATGTTTGCCGCTTCCGCTATTGCAGCAAACACCTTCATGCGGTCCATGTTTGGTGGAGTCTTCCCACTATTCGCAACCTTCATGTTCAACGGTATGGGGATCCAATGGGCCAGTACACTGCTTGGCTGCGTGGCGCTCGTACTGGTACCGATGCCAGTGGTCTTCTATGTATTTGGTAAGAGAATTCGGGGCAAGAGCAACTTTGCACCTGCGCCAGATATCGCTCAAGATAAGCGCAGAGATGAAGAGAGCAAGGGAAGCGAAGGTGTTGAAGCGGGCAGTGGTGAGACGACCGAGCGGGAGAGCCTGGACAGGGCAAGGAGTAAAGATGAGTAGCCATCTCATCGTGTTTTCAATTTCTTTTCATCTGGGCTTAGCGAGCACATATACCTTTTAATCTCAACCTTTCACCCTAATCACATGTTTGAAGAGCTAAAGGAGTGTTTACGATTGGAAATGCATTGACGAAGGCAACGGGTATAGCTTCCCTGTGTTCAATGAACAGCAGACATGGTATCAATTCCTTCCCTTTATCCACTACACATCTACGGTAGTACATACCCACCATCAATAATACAATCGCTTCCTGTCATATAACTCGAAGCATCGCTGCCCAGGTACAAGAACAATCCCTTAATCTCCTTAACATTACCCTGCCTCCCCAACGGAATCATCCTCAACCCCTCATTAATTACCTGCGGCCCAGCCCCCATCTTGGTATCAAAGAACCCCGGGCTAACAATGTTGACCCTCGCAAACTCCCTCCACTCCCTCGCCAGCGACTTGCCCAAATGCGAGATAAACGCCTTGGTACCGTTGTAGATAGGTTGGTCGATGGGTACATTGACGATGTGTGCGGAGATGGAGCTGGTGAGGATCAAGTTGCCAAATCCTTGTTTCTTGAATACCTCGCCGGCGTACTTGGCGCAGAAAACGGGGCCGTCGACGTTGACTTTCATGAGGTTGTGGTAGCTATCGAGGGTTTGGTCGAGGAGCGGCTTGCTGTCTCCTGTGCCGGCGTTTGCGACGAAGACGTCGATGCGGCCGAAGTCTTCAACCACTTGTTGCACGGCTTTTTGGACTGCCTCGGCGTTGATCTGGTTCACGCTGTAGGCTTTTGTCTTGACGTTGTGCGTCTTTGCGAGGTTCTCCGCGCGGGTTATGGCGGCGCTGTTGGAGTTGTACCACAGGGCTACGTTGCCGCCTGCTTCGGCCATGGCGTCGGCTACGGCTCCACCGATTCCTTCGGCTGCGCCGTTGACGACGATGACTTTGCCTTTCATGCTGAATTGCTGCATGACGTTTGTGGGTGTGTCTGGCACGGGTTTGGGGAAGCCGGCGCGCGGCGTCTGGCATTCTTCGACGGACATGGACATTTTGGCGGTTTTGGAGGGAGAAGATTCTGCTGTAGAAGCTTATGGAGTTGGTATGACTTGAAGTAAAGATAGGGAAGTCAGTAGTCTGCAATATAGTAAGAAGTCGGAGTCGGAGGTCGACACTTATGTATCTAGACGCGTGAGATTGGGCGGAGGAAGGTCTGCCGAGTGAGGCTCAAAGGCCGCGACTCTGACGGTGCAGCTTTTACCCCGCCGAGCAAAACATGGGATGGCACTGCGTCACGGGGTGGTGTTGCGGGGCAAATCTGGAGGACTGTCGTCCGGATGGGGCGGGATGGTTCCTGAATTGGGATGGTGCCCGTTGCCCTCGGCTTACCTTCCTTCTGAGCGCGCGGCTCGTACCGTGTCTTCTACCGACTGCGTTGTTCTTTTGTGACTTCCTTCCACGATACTTTGCTGGGTGTTGAGTGCGCTTTGGCTCGGCTGGAATCTCGGAGGTGTCTTTAGGTGCAAAAGATCAGTCAGACAAACATGAGTTCATTGCCTCTCATCAACTCTTTCCCTGGGTGTTGTCACACGGCAGCCATGGCACGTCCTTTGCGGCAACTGTATTGCATGTTTCGCACAGCAGCCTGCTTCTTTACGGTACGAACTATCAGCGTTGCCCATGGTGCTAAATAAAGTCATCTTTGAGTATGAGGAGAGCGTCGATATTTACGTAGCGAAGCCATCTGTACGTCTCGCACACGATGATGAGGTAGCGGTTTACTTCACTCGGCACCTGAAGACAACATGGGGTGACTCTCTCAGCCAAATATGTTCAGTATAAGGCGACGTGGAGGAGGAAGCTGCAGTCAAGGCAGTTCCGTTCATCGAGTCTCTCGGCCAGTCGTTATGATCCACGAGAGTAGTCGACACCGCTCGTACGCATGGGGTAGCTTATGTCTTGTTGCGGTAAGTTGAGGAAAAGATGCTCAGACGTACCTTCCTTCACTCTCCAGAAGCACGAGGAGCCCTCTGCGCTTAGCGTGCACGGTCTACCGCTAGACAGGTCCCGTCCGCACCTTCACAACAATGTTGCTTCCTCCATCGCACTGTGGACACGCAAGCCTACATCTGACTCGAAAGCTTTTCATATCACCCTTCAACGCAACAGTTCGCAAGGATGTGTTTCCGCTTCCAGGACCTTCCAGCAGGTACGCAATCTCAGTCTTCCGCTTCATTCACTTCACTTGCACATCAGCCAGCGCTGACTACATGCAGAACTGCGCAACCGTATCTACGAGATCGCTACAGTGGTCGGTGACGAGCCGCTGGCTATATCCCGGCTGCCTCACAGAGAAGACGGCAACTATGCTGGTCTTACGAGAGCTTGCGTTCAAATTAGAGCTGAATATCGACCAATTCAGCGTCGCAAGGCCAAACTTTCCCTGAGCTTTTCAGACCTTGATGTGTTTACTGGAACCTTTCTCGCTTCAGCCGCAGACAAGATGATTCTCCCTCTTGAGGTTCACGTCCGTGTATCCCGTTTCACCAAGCCAGGTTGCGCTCTTACTTTCGACTCACTTCCAATTCTACAAGTCAAAGTCCAGAACCCCCGCTTGGACATCAGGATCGTGCCCACTAATATCCCAAAGGGGCCTCATTCCATAGGGGGTGGCCCGCATGACGCGGCTGCTCTAGCGACTATCGCCTTGAACCAAGCACAGGACCTTAACTCGGTGCTCCTTCACTCAAACAAGGACTGGCATACGTGTCTCAGTAACGGTTCCATTGGCGAAGTATATATATGGATGGAGATCGGGTTCACACGGGTTGAGATCGTCTTCGTGGGTACGCTTGGTTACAGGGACTGGCCAAAAACATTCAGAGGCGACAAGGAGTGGCGTATCTCTCACGGCCTGCAGGCTCCGGCATCGCATAGTCATCGCATCGACTTCTTCTTTCTTCACAAGGCGTAGCACTGGAGCTTCTGTTCAAGGTTACTTCCCAGACGTGAATGATACACAGAGAGATGAAGAATGCAATCATCTATCACTCACTACGTAATAAGTAAACTGTCAGTGACTCACCGCTCTCCACAGGTCATAGCGCTACCGCCTGGGCTCACGTGCGGGTAAACTAATTCCTGCCCTCGCTTACAACGAGTCGCTACCTTCGCTATCAAACCCTCGATAAGCCACCACGTTTACGTCATCAGAGTCTCCGTCAGATACTACCATCGTCCAAGTTACCCATCCGCTCCAAGAGCACTAGAGTCACCATGGCCTTTCGCTTCCTCGACCTCAACCCAGGCATGCTACTTCCCTCACCCGTATCGCGTGAGAGGAGCTACTGACATTTCCCAGAATTGCGCAATATAGTCTACCACTTCGCGTCAATCACCGACGCACACGTTCCTATCCGACGCGATGCCTCTCTTCAGTCCGGCAACTACGCTGCGCTCACAAGAGTGTGTGTCCAGATCCGCCGAGAATACCGCCCAGTTCAACGTCGCATGGCTGAGGTTCGGCTGGACCTTGCAAATGTTGGCCATTATGCTCGGGCATACATGACGACAGCTGAAGACTCCATGTCCCTCCCTCATAACATACGCGTCGAAGTACCATTCGCGGTATCCTCAGTTCTCGGTTCTCACTTCAGCATCTTTCTGGTTCTCAAGCTCAAAGCTATCAACCCTGGCCTGGACTGCGAGATGGTGTCCGCCACCATTGCGAACAGCTATGATCTTGTACAGCACCCCCGGAATGTGGACCGGGTTCGTGGTCTCAACGCACTTGCTTTCCATGCGAACGAAAAGTGGCGCGAGGATATTAGCAACGGGACTATTGGAGATGTCCGGATCAGATCAAGCGCATCATTCGTTGAGACTACATGTATTTGTATCAACTTCACGGGTGTTCACGCTCCCAAGAACTACGATGAAGCGACCAGCGCGCCTGATGCGTGGAGCAGCGCTCGCGGTCTTGACGTCGCGCTTTCACACGGTCATCATGTTGCGTTATACTTTTCACCGATGTTCACCTGAGCAAGGTCGAAGAACTGGTCAACCCAAGTTTTCGAGTGTATCGCCTGGTGGGCATGCGTTGTCGAGTATGTAGTATAAGAAGAATTGCATGAAAAGTTGATCAAATCACCTAGTTGCCTGATCAGTCTATGTTGCGGAGATTTTCGTTTATCTCGCAGAGGCTATGAGCAGGTCGGCGCTCACTGTACGCCGGTTCGGAGACTGGTAGAGCTCGCGTAGTCAATCATCTTTCGTGAGCGCTCCTCTCCGCTCACTTGCCACCTTGCGGTGCACAAGCTCTTGTGATAACGATACATTTAGTTGAGGAAAACGAATTGACTGGATGTGATGTAGATTTCGGAGGTTGTGATTCGCTAGTCTGCTCCGCACCGCAGTACCATAGGACGAAGTGGATGAACCAATTTTTCGCATCGCACTTAGATGTGAGTCAAAAGCAAAGATATATAACACGTTCGCACCGCCCACATAGCGATACATCCGCATACCGATTTCGATCCGCGAACACGCTCACTTCACAGCTACCATCAAAGAGACCTACAATCCACTTCTCAACCTACCGCACAGTCACGATGACTTTCCGTTTCCTCGATCTTATACCAGGTACGAGATCCTCTCCGCCTCTCTTGCAAGACGTAAAACTGACGATAGACAGAATTGCGCAATCGAGTGTACTACTTTGCTTCCTTGTCTGAAGAACAAACCATCTCAAGCATAAGATACCAGCATGATACCTCTCTCGGGAGCATCGACGCTGGGCTTACGAAAGTTTGCCGGCAGATCCGAGCTGAATACCTGCCCATACAGCGTCGTGAAGCGGTAATCGCATTCCGTTGGGACAGAATCGAGTACATGCAGGATTGGTTCAATACATTCTACCCAGGCGGGCCCAATTCGAGCGGCGTTCCTCGCGTCGTTCGAATTCTATTGGACAAGGAAGAGGAAGTTTCACGGATGAGGCCACGGGGCCACGTCTGTGTGTCCCAGAATCCCACATGCTTGGAAATGATTGCAGATCTGGACGAACTATTAATGCTTCGCGCGCATTGGACATCGATTCGCTTTGAAGCTGCCCTGGAAGATGCCTACCGTCCATGCGATGAGTCCGATCTCGAACTCAGGGGCCTGGCAGAGAAATATTCCCACAAACTGTGTCTTCTTCTCCAATATGACGACCCCACCTGGCTCTCAGCTATACGCGATAACGTGTTTGAGGGCATTTTAATCGAGCACATTGTTCGGGATGCCCCACCAGTCGTATCTGTAGAGGTTGGACCATACGGAAAATATTCGCCATACTACACTACCCAGCGAATTCTTCCCCTTGAAAAAGCCTTGGAGGCCCATTGCGGCATCAAAGTTGTCGTTTGGGATTCTACGATGGGCTACGCGTAAAGAGCCTACTGTCAATGAGCGTGGTTTTACTGCAGACGGAAGGGCGAGCCATTTCAAGCAATGTGAACATGATCGAATTAATATCGAATTATGGAAGAGCAGAATTCGTGCCGTACTGTGCACAGATGTCTATGGGAGTTAGGGTATGGCTGTGTTAAAAGTGCACAGCAACTTAAACAAAGCTTACATTGATACATGATACTGTGAGTGCAGCAATGCGACAGCTACCTAGGTATTCCGGTTGCTCAGATGACGATCGCGAGGATGATGACGTCATGGCGCAGGCAGGTCTCAGGGTCCGCTCCTTCTACCACGACCTTCGGGTCTTTCCTCATTGAATGCGTCTCCTGATGTGAAATCTGATCTCCCTCCAGATAGATCAGGCTGCAGTTTCGATTTCTGCCAGGCTCTACCGCTCCCGCTACCGTCTTGCATATAAGAGGGGCTTGTCTGTACTCGAGTCTGCTCCCACCACAGCCACCACAGCCACCACAGCGTCGTTCGGTAGTCAGTACCCTTATCTATTACCACTTATTTCGCTGCCACCGTGTGTTGCATCGAAACTACCCCAGCAGCCACTTGTTTGCAGAGGGGACTTTCTATCTACTTCAGGCTCCCACCTCACCTGCCTCTGTCATACCACCACTACGATAAGGAAAAGCGATTACGCTGAAGCAAAGTCACGACGCATTCTATCACAATAGCACGTTTCAATACCCTACAATGGCACGTTCTTGTTCTTGGTCACGAGCCCGATACCGGAGGTAAAAGTTGGAGGGAATGGCTTTCTACACAATTGCTACCACCTACAATGGCACCTCACCTTCATATTCAGGGTCTACACACGGGTACTCTCGATTGATGACCTGTCGTCGTGACTGCAACTGGCACTGCAATGCTGCCTTCCCTCGCAGGTACAATAGGAAAGACCTACCCACAACCACGCGATTGAATCACGCGCTCCTTCCACGTTCTTGGATTATTGGTACTATGACATCGTATCCAACATTCCCTGCTTCCAAACTCCATCATACCAACATCAAAAACGATCATGAAGAGGAACTGCCAAGCATTCGCGCTCTCTTACCTGAGGCCTGGTCTCGAGGTGACTTCCGATTCAGGCAACTTCCTCAGTCACCGTCAGAGACGCTGGTGGCGATTATCGTTGGCATTTCCCCGCTCACCTTTACTTCGCAAGACATAAAAGAATCTCCATGGTCTACGCTCCATTACTTCTACATCCCGCAATTATCTTGAATATCTGATTATCACTATTTCCCTCGCTATCAGCAGCTTCTCTCAAACCCAGCAAAAAGCCGGAAGTACAAGACCTCATGGCGTAAGTCCCCTCTCTTCCCACGTAGAGCCTATGATTTCCCCACAAAGCTCTCAGTTTTGGTTTGATGGACTCTGCTAACTCAGACAGCCCTACTCGCCCGAGCACCCCACCTCCTTCCCGTTCTTCTCCCAGGAAGTTCGGTCACCCGCCAGTCGTTCCTGCCCCTTCTACACCAACTTCACGCCGAAATGGCTTCAATGGCGGTTCCAACGTCATCATGGGCTCGGAGCATGCGACTGTGCCGCCCTCCCCCGGACTGCCTGTACCTGGCTTCGCGGCACTCACCATGAGTCCTGTTCCTGCCCAAGTCCTGCCCATCCGCCAGAGCAAGCGCAAGCGTGGAGGTCACGCGCGCACTGATGCCGGTGTCAAGAAGAAGACCAAGAAAAAGCCAGATGGCACCATGGCTAAGTTGGTCGATGTTGCTCTCAAAGAAAAGGTTGGCACCAGCTACCCCGCTCTGCAGAAGCCGTTCCGCTTCATGGACCTCCCCGGAGGTAAGTCACACGATTCTGACCCTTTTGACGCAAGCTGACTGTTGATAGAACTCAGGAACCAGATCTACATGCACACCCATGGACGTCCCAAGCAGGCCCTCCTCGTTTACCGCCCGCGCCTCGCCTCTCTGCGTCCCCGCACTCGTCTCGATCGCGGCCGTACTTTGGCCTCTGACATCGTCGACCAGGACCAGGAAAAGAAGATCTCGGGCGGCAACAACAAGTCTCGTCTCTCGACTAAGCCCAAGCCCAAGACAGAACCTCGAGAGACTAACCGTCCCTTCTGGGGCCTTACCCAGGTATGCCGTCAACTCAGGGCTGAGTACCGTCCCATCTACATGGCCAAGCAGGAGATCGGCATGGACCTCACCGAGATCGTGGACTACCTCAAGACTTTCTATCCGACCGCCACGGAAGTCGTCTCCAACCTTGGTCCTCCAGGAGAGCGCAGCGAGGACGCGCCTTTTGTAGGCAACCTGACCATCGCGGTTGGAGACAAGCCCAACGAGCTGGAGCGTGCTGGTGATGGCATCGAGGTCTTTACTCTTCTTGACATCTGGGCCAACAGCCTCAAGATTGAGGCTGGGTTCGGTCGCTACCTCAAAGCCAACTACGTTGCCGAGACTGATGGCGAAGCCAAGGACCTGTGAGTTTCCCTACCTCTTTCATCACATGATCTATTCACTGACCATCTTCCAGCTACCG